ATCTTGTTGCCTCTATATTTATAACTATGTAATGATCCCATTAAAAAAATTTCATTTAAATTTTATTAGCATTTTATACATCTTTTATGTACAGGTAACTTTATAGAATCTCTCCTTACAAGATAAAAAATGGGTTTACATTAAGARAATGTGAGATTATTGAAACATTACCAAACACAGAACGCTACAAAATGCTAAATGTCTTACCTTTCTTAGGCCCCTGAAACTGGGCATATGCTTACTTGAAGATCTTCTAAAAAACAAATAATTAGAAGGAMAATGTCAGACAAACTGAACACACAGAAAATACATGCATGCATAAAAACAAACTCTGTGGCACTCACTCTCTTGTCACTTCCTGATAGACATCCAAACCCTCGTCACAGGACTTCGATCGCTCCGTTTTACTGGTTGAGTCCGAGTCTAACAAAGCGCTTCGTAGAGACTCTACAGATTCATGGTAAAAATGCTAAATTATAAATTAAAATCCAAGTAGAATTCAGGAAGCTATAAGATCAACACAATTTAAAAGGAAAAAAAGCATCCTCTAGATGATTTCCATGAGCAATACTTTGAAATAATATCATTTCCAGCCAACTCAAGGCAGTTTACCTTGGTCATGTGACAGCTGACGGCGAATGGGAGGACACGGAGAACCTTGGCTCGAGGGTGCTGTAGCTATGGATGGTGGGACAGATATTACAGCAGAGGGAGGAATAGGAGCAGCCTCTCGGTCAACACTTGGGCTGACTGGCTCATCTGTATGAACGAGATAATATTCAATGTGAGACCAGAAATGCAATATAACTCCCCATGTTTCTGTTCTCTAGTGCATTGTCTTTTCATATACTGTGTGTCTGCAAAAAAAAAAAAAAAAAAAAAAAACAGAGCAATGGCTCCTAGATTCAGTAGTACTGAAACAATAATTTTTTTAGCTGCCATCTATGGGAAAGGAAGAATACAAAAGACTAGTCTCTTTGTGAGACAATAATGTTTTTTTATTAAGAGGAAAGTTTATCCATCGCCCACTCTAGGCATTGCAAGCCTGAAATGGCTCAGAGTACRAAGCTGCTCTCTGTAGCCAAGGGGCTTTTGGAGCTAAATTTAAAAGCAAATGTCCTAGTTCCAGCCTGTACCCAACTTTGAAACTGGGCAAAAACAAGATACCATCTTTCTAACACGGCCTCCTTGGCTACTTCTGAAAGTTATATCTGTCATTGATCAGTGCTTTGGAGTAACATCTAGGTAACATTTAGGTTTTACAACTTTCTGAGARAATACGGGACTTATAAGACTATAACTAAAATATACATTACTACAGACTATCCTGTAGCTGCACTTCAGAGGAGAAAAAGATCTTATCTGAGTTTTTGAAACATTTTACTAAGTGACAGACTACACTGGATTTATTGCATRTTGTTATGATCTGCCAGACTGGAAACTGTCGACTCTCCTAAGTGTCTGGGGTCAAATGTTGGKTTAAGTGTACATTCAACAATCTCCAAAATCAAATACACAAACAAGAGAAGGTACTCAGGCTAAAACTTACACCCATTTGTTCAGTTTATAACATTTAACATTATAACATTTATTTTATTTAAACTAAATCAAGACAAGATCTAAATATGTCATATGTCCTGGTTTGTCTAAAGATTGTAATGTCCAATTTGGAMAAGATGTTTTTCAAAAAGAAACTCAGAATTGAAAGCCAGTGTAATGTATTTTTATTAAGACTACATACAGTGTATGYACATTTAGAAACCATGCAAAACACTGCTGTGTTTTATAATTGAAACGAAGATGGCTTAATTTTTTACTATCAGTTAAGTTAAAAATTATCAAGTAATAAGACTAGATACTAATCTTGCACATTTAGTCTAAATTGCAGATTTTTTCTTTTGAACAGACCAATGATGTGGACACTGAAGTTTACTGAATCAAGACACTGTCCCTCTTGAACCAGGACACAATACCTACAAAAGAACGAGTTACAGCATCAGTCACTGCTTTGTCTGGACTCTCAGACCTTAAAAACAAAAATATATACCGACCAGGAAGAGCAGAGCAAACCTGTGAAGGGCTACTTTTGAGAAAATTAACCTGAGTTTTTAAATGGAAGTTGACTGCGGTTATCTTATGGTACATTTATCTTGCACCTTCACAGAGACAGATTTGAATCTGAAACTCAGTTTCCTCCAAAATATCAAACTAAAACCTATCAGCAACATCGTTCCCTATGACCTAGTTCCTCCTCAAGATCTACCTGCATTTATTCCTTTTGATTCCCRCTCTCTGAAAAACAGCACTCCCCAGCTACCTGAAACAATAAACAATATGTTGACTCTAAAAGCAAGTTAATCTTAGGTTTGTTCTGCATGTCAGATACTGACAAACACTCATGGGAAAAAATAGAGATTTAGTAAAACTAAACTGAATACTGAATTGCTTTTTTCTCATTGAGATGTTCAGTTTACTATCTATTAATATGTKGCATGTTAATAAAAGGACAGATGAATAGGCAGATACTCAAACATACRTAAAACATGTAGGGCAAAGACAGACTGAGGGAAAATCATGCAGCATGATGTACAGAAATATACAAACATTTTGTAGCACTTCAAACAGTAAATTCCTGAAAGCTCTAAAGTAATATTCTTTTGCAAATTTTCAACAATAAGAAATCAATACTCATTCAGTAAGTTCAGTCACTATTTGAAGTGAGCTGAAACCCTTCATGTGTGAATGGAGACACATTTTTGAGATGCCAAACATTTAATGAGCACATCTGTTGTAGTTCAGCTCCACCAAAATACAGTCTGCACTGACGAGACAATATCAAGAAAACAATTAAATAAAACCGAAATTCAATGCATCCAAGTCTCTGCTCTGGTTAAACCTCACAAACCCTCTTTGAAGGAATCCAAACTGGATCAATAACAGCTTCCCACAGAAATAAATTTACCTGACACTAGGTTCCCAAGTCTTTACTTACAACAATGATGCATAAATTTGATAAACAGTGAAACTGCAATTATTGCTCTGGTCAGTTTTCAATGTATTTGCTCATTTTAAGCTAGTGTTTACTGATGTTTTGTTTTTGTTTGTTAAAATAAGATACATTTATGTCATGGCCACTTGAACCACGTTATCAYGACCTGCTACTGTTGTCATGAGAACATAAACCAGCAAGGATTGTTGACTCTCTTACCGATGAATGGAATGGAGTCCAGAGATTCGTCCAGGTTGCTGGAGCAGGAGGTGTGACGTTGTTCCTCGATTCGACGCATGTGTATCTCTCTGCGTGCATCATTTGGAAGCCAGATCGTAGAGTCTGCCGTAGAGTCTGGTCCATCATCGTTTACGGCCAGAATGTACGAATGTTGCCGTAAGGGGCTGGGGCTTTTCCCAGCATGAGATTTCTCCCTCAGAACCACAGAATTTTCTGTTGGACTTTGACCATTAACCTGACTTTGATAGTCTTGCTGTATTTTGAGGATGCCAGGCTTCTGAGGCAGTTCTTTTGAAGTTGAGCACGACATAGACCTGAGCCCTACCAATGCTGAGTCTCTGCCTGCTTCGGTGGGCTGCATGGTTTCTGCCCGCATCCTGCTCTGGCCTTGTTGGTTAGGGATGCCTGATTGGTGTCCTCTGACTGAAATTCTTTGGTCAATAAAAGAATGTTCAGAACTTGTGCTCTTTCCAAAAACCAAGGGCCTGTGGGAGACTTTGGGTGAGGAACGGGTCTGAAGTGAGTCTGGTCCTTTAGAGTAGAGGGAAGGGTTTGATACCCCTCTCATGCCAGCACTGTATCCAGCAGAAGTCCTAACTGGTACAGCATTTCTGGGGATTGCCTGTCTGCTTGGTCTTGTACCTTGGTCTGCTCTTGGATAGACCCCTCTCCTTTCACTAGGCCGAATCTCAGCATCAGCATAGTCCACAGAACGAGCCCTAGCTTTCAGAACAAGGCCGTCTTGGGACACACTTCGAGGAGGCCAGTTCCTTGATTGGCTCATCTTTTCTGCATTTCCCATACGATCCTGGGAGGCACTGCGTGGGGCAATCTGAAGTTGGGGTGGAGGTCTGTAGTATGATCTTTCATGGGAAGTACTCCTGCGTCGTATTTCCTTAGGTGCCCAGTTCCCCTGAGGAATGTGATGAGGATTAACGAAAGAGGCCTGACTGGCAGTTCGCAAATTGTCCAGCCTCTCCTGGATGGTCCGACTTGCATGGGAATGAATGCCTTTGTTGTCAATATACTCYCTGTACGTTTGGTAAGTGCGCCAATCAATGTTTTGATGGTTGCCTGAATAATTAGGTGCCTGACCCCCAAACGGAACCATTCCTGGATCACCAGGATAGAYATCAGCTTTTCGAGAATGAGGATATTGGGCCAGTGACCCAGGTCTTCCCCTAACAAAGACAGGGTCTATAAAATCCATCCTTCTTTCTGGTACCATGTGCCCCATATGTGCTGTATTAGAGGGAACCACCACAGTCCTAATGCTGTCATTGCGCATGCACACTGCTGTTTGGCTTTTAGGATATGGTTGATGAGGAGGAGATGGGGGCATAGTTATCTCCTTACGATACCCATGGTCAAGAGGTGCCGTTGGCCCTCGGCAAACTTGCCCCACTGAGTCTGTTGCCTGGGCCATGCCCGCAGGCTTATAGTCTACTCTGGGGTAGCATACTGGAGGTGGGTTAGGGATGTGACAGGCATTTCCTTTGTAGCTGCTGTGGCCACGGAGGTAGGCATCCTGGGAGTAGGCCTGGAGACAGAGCAAAACGGCAATGTTACAACAGAGTAGTACAAACCACAAGCATGTGTAATGTTCAACAGTGCGGCACTAGATGCTTACAGAGAAGTCAAGTGTGATATTGCAAATGTTACGGCATGCATGTGTGTAGGCAGCGCATGTTGCAGTATGAGTGAGCGGAGGCGTTTCAAACAGTTGAAGGGTATCAATGTTCTTCATCTACTCCTTATTTAGACTTCTTATGGTAATAATTGCAGATAGTGTACACAAAAACCAAGAAGTGTTTTTAGAAACAGCATTTGCTTTAATCACTATCTTCATAATGCAGAATTTTTCMTGTATTGTACTCTTATGTCCTCCAAAAAGACACTTCTATCCAATGTTTCTTGTTAAAAAAAACATCTATGGAACACATACAACAAGTGTAAGCAATCAGAAATTATGATACTGTGTTCGTTTTCGTTGTGCTTTAAATAYTTACTTTGAACTGAAACAGCTTGTTTAGATTTTACAAAAATACATACATAGTACACAGATATATATGAACAAGAAGCAATTAAATATTGATGTAAAAATTGACACACATATACACAGCTGAACAATATCAACATTTACCCACCTCTGTGAACTCCTAAGACAGCAGGCTGCCTTTCCCTCATAGTGAAAATACTATATTTAGCCACTCTTGCCATGATCCAATGGTACAAAGCTTAAATTATTTCCTTGTTGATACAAAACCAAAGCTCTAACAAAGTTAAAAGTAGAGGGTTTTTTTTCTTCTTTGAACAATGTGCATTTGTAACGCTTACAAAATTATCCGCTCCTGTACATACGACAAGCAAGAAAAAAGTAAAAGGTGAGGACTTTGACCCTGTAACAACCTGCTGTAAGATTACAAACTTACATAAAAGTATGAGTCTCAGAGCAATTAGTGTCAGACTCAGTAACTATGTCTGGATGCAAAAGTTCAGGGGTCATTTGCCTTTATTACACTGATGACATCTGACAGAGTATGAAGAAGGGGCGAGGTCTTACTGAGATTCTAGCTAAATGCCAACTCGAGCCGTAAATCTAACAAGTACTGCATGCACAGTGAATCGGCCATTTCTGCWGCCTAAATATATGAATCATGAGCTCATATTTGACCATTAAACACACATCTCACTCAACTATATGCCAGTAATGTACAAGCTACAGGCAACCTCTTGTAATGGGGATGACACGCATGACACATGAAAAAAAAAAAACGACACAGCTGGTACGACATGTCAACATCAAGCTGTTACACAGTGTGCCGTTTTCTTACCAGATTAGTTGTTTCCCCAGAGAAAGGCTGCCATTACAGCATGTGAAAACAAGTGCATTAAGGAATCACAGGAGAGAGGTTGGAAGAGAAAAGSATGAAAGCAGAGCAAAATGCACATTTTGTAAAAAACAGAACCGATCCCAAAAGCAGAAAAGATGAATCAGCCATAGCAATCCTAGGGATTGTCATGCTAAAAATACACTAGAGTTGCAGTGGCGATACACAAGGATGAGAAAGCAAAGAGGTAGCAGGGGTTGCCACGTTACAACCTGCCTGTGACACTCTGTCCTGGGTGAGCTGCCAGGAGCAGAAGCTTGCTTCTCATGTTGTCTTTAGGTCTTCATGGCTCCATACATCTCCAAACAGAATATTACACTAAATGAACAATGTGTCTCCAGTCTCTCCATCCCTCTCTCTCTCTCTCTCTCTCTCTTTCCCTCCCTGCTACTGCTCACATGACAGAAGCAGCAGCTGCTGATTATACATTCAGCTGTGATGGTACCGCTACCCCTCCCACTCCTTTCTCCTTTTCTCTAAGCGTCAACCTGTTCCAAACACAGAGCAGTCAGCTGACTTTATCCGCTGGTTTAAGCTCATCATTCATGATGTTCTGTCCATTTTCCCCCGGCTCACAGTTTCCTCTGCCTTTATGCYGTAATGTTGCCTCCCCTTTCTGCTCCTTAAATGTTCGGTGTCTCCTTCTCTTTGCTAAGCAACTGCTGCCCGTCTCCAAGCATTCAGTGCATGCTGCCTCCTACAGTGTCACGTCGCTCTGCTAGCATCTCTGATAATCCTGATTTTAACRGACAGATCCTACTTTGCGTGCCTACATCACAGATATTTTTGTACTGCCTTTTTTTTCCATTTGCGTGACAACATTGTAGCAGGAGGGGACAATTATTACTACAGAAACAAACCACACAAGAGGAAAGACTTACAGTGAAAAAGATGGAGCAGAAGTGGTTATCACAGATGAGAACATTAACTTATGATAAAAGAAGTGGGGGGGGGGGGGGTTGTTAGATGTATGGGACAAATAAATATATATTTGACATTTCAAGTTTTATTTAGGCAACTCAAAATAAACTACAACTAACTAAAGCCTTAGTCCATAATTTGCTCTTTTGGACAAATAACTTACATAAATTTGGAAGTGTGACTGACTGCAATATAAACACTTGTTATTGCAAATGTCAAATAAAATGCCAACCAAATAAAACATTCAGTTAATGGATGTGATTGAACATGACTAAAGAATCCCCAGGGATGAATTAGTTTGAAAACAAATATTCCTGCTGTTTCATTATATTGTATAATTTATAAACACATTGTCAGATAATAAAAGGCTGACAGGAAAGGAATCCTGCACATCCAGCCAAAGCATCTAGAATACTTAAACCTAAAATAGAAAACGCAAGTGCACCTTTTGTGCAGAATCAATAACAGCAACCCACAGCATGCATAAAAGATTTGATGAGAAGATCAAGTCTGCATAGGTATGAGAATTTACCTCTGCACTGAAGAAATTGAGGGTCATGCAAATATCAGGGTATCATTTAGTGAAGTTCTTAAAAAAAACTCCTGCAGTTTAACCAAAACTAAAGCACACAAATAAAAAATCTTTACTCTGAATTTTATCTGCTTAAAATGATTGGAGTTCAGGTGCAGTTTTATGGCATCTGATCAAACTAGAATGAAATATATAGCATTATTATAGAATTTAAATTCCTTTGAATTTGTACATGTCCATTTCAAATTCAAATTTTACACCATTTACCTGTTGCTACCTGAATAAACTGATCAACAGAAAATTTGAAAGGCTTAAAGTCTAGTTTGTGATGTGAAGGCCTCGACTCAAACCTATTAGTTCAACAACTCAAACTATTTCATTTGCATAAAAAAAACTGAAAGACACTAATTTCACTAAAAAATGCATAAAATGAGAAAGGACTCAGCTTGTTGTTGCACAATAACTTTATCATTGTGTGGGTATGAAGTGATACTAATGCATGATTTCTCTTTTTCACTCACGCACTTTAAGAAAATCAGTTGAAATTAGGAACACCTTAAATGCAGCATAAATGTGAAACTAGTCCATTTATAGGAAAGAGAGTCAAACTACACATCAGAATTTTCATGTAGTTACAAGAAACAAGAAAAGGTAAACAAATATTAGATAGCTTTAATAAACAATGTTTCCCCGGAATAAAAGTATTTTTTCTAAACATGCACAGCATAACACTGCTTTCTGTTAAACCAGACTATGAAAGTTTGAATAATGCTGACAATATGTGATCTGTGAGACTCATTTGAACAATTAGCTTTGTTTGTTATTCTATAAAATCTTAATACATCTACAACACACCCAAATAACAACAATTTGCACATTTTGCTTCACAGTGAACTAAGTAGACATTATGGGTGATGCTTTCTCTAGCTGTAAATTTAGGCCATTTCAACAGTGGTGTCAGCAGCGGTGCTGAAGGACAGAAAAACTGCTTTGGCCTGATTAGGAGGCCCAGATAAAGAGTGCTGATGGGACAAGCCAGCTGCCTGGATCTTATGACTGCTGTCCCATCATAAACTCCTTAAACTAGAGCAGGATGATGTTCAAATATAAGTTGTTGTACAATTCAAAAGAAAAACTTTTCCACAATTGTCAAACTGTGCGAACAGAAAGTCACAAAGATACTGTTAATGTAGAAGTAAAACTTACCAGTTGCAGTATGTCCTCATCTTTTGGCATCACACAAAGTTCAAGAAACTCACCACTGCAGGAAGCCAAAACACAAAATAAGACAAAACTTGAATTTGTGTAAATTCACACATTAGAWGCAAAATCAACCAGACAAATTCTGTCAGCCTTACGTGTCTTGGATCAAAGATATCACATCAGAATAAGCTTTCCCAATGATGCTGGCTCCATTTACCTTCACTAATCGATCACCTAATCGACAAAATCGACAAAAACAGCATCAGCAAATAGCCCCAAATATGCCAAATGTCAGGTTTATTGAAATTATAAAGGTTACTATAAAAACTTATGTTTGAATTTTATTTGGTTTATATGAACAATTAAATAAGTAGCAACAAAAACAACACACAGCTGGGAACATTTTACAATCTTTTTTCCTTCTGCTTAAAAGGTTTTCCAACTCACAAACATCTAACATCCAAAAATTGGGAATTTTAGTAAATAATAATAAGAATAAAAAAAACTTACAGTTCACTGGTTATTTACCTGTGCAAAGCCCAGCCTCGTGAGCAGGGCCACCCACTTTGACCTGCTTCACAAAAATAGTGTCCATAGGTTTGAACCTGTTCTGCTGCCTCCCTGGTGAAAATAAACCAAAATAATGTTTTATTATGTAAACACCAAGCAGAAAAAAAAAAACAGAAACCTTAATTTAAAAAAGCAGCTATTGCTAAACATACAGTATATCATCTAAGGGCATATGAATAACATCAATTTTATTTTATCTAATATGAAAATATTGAATAATGAGATTTAATTAATACATATGTGCAAAACTGCATTTATTATTTGAGCTTCTGACGGTCAAATTGGAGGTGGGGGCAAAAGTCTTATGATAAATAAAATAAAGAATAGCTATGTGTAAGGTAGGGAAAGAAACTGGACTGCCTCGGAAAAAAAAGAGTTGTAAGTTGCTCAATTTTAAAAACACACTTTCATTACAAAAACAAAGTTACTACATGGTGAAATTAGGTGGTTCTAAGGACACGAATTACTAAAGACAGAAAGACCTGTTTGCTCATTCTGTTCCTGTCTCCTAGCAGCTGCACGGTCACAAGAAAAAAAAAGGGAAAGAGAGAGAGAGAGAGTGAGAAAAAGAGGCTGAAGAGGAAGAGTGTCAATGTGCTCAGCTGCACGCCTCCCACTCTTTCCTTGTAAACTGAGAAATAGCTGTGGGCACAGCCAAAGAGTGGATAAAATACTTCCCCGGTAGTTAACATTCTGGTGGTGAGTCAGCACACATTACCTCCCAAACTCGAGTACACAGCAAGTCAAGCATGAGATCACATGTGCTACTTTGTGACTGTACTTAAAAATCTACAAACACACAAATACACCCAGAACAAAACTTTAAACCAATTACATTTAGCACATGACAGCTGTGATATTTGAATGATAAAAATGGGACATAAAGCGCTTTTTTTATTGCAACTAACACTCACTTTCTTCTCATTTAACACAAGATTACTCATTCAAGACCACRTTATGAGGTGTCAGATTACATAATAACTTAGTTTACTACAACTACAGCAGGAAGCCAAGCTCCCTCTAGTGGCATAATGTAGGACTTCATTTACAGTTCCTCAATGAAGCTGTTCATAAATTTTACTATTGTGAGGGGATTGGTTTTCTTTATTATAAGAGATACTGTAGTAAAATCAGCCTATGTATTAATATTTATACATAGAGCTTTGTACATGCAAATAAATCAAATCTGCACTCATTCTCATTAATGCAAATAATAGATGACTAAAAATCTTGAATCTTTGTTTGAGTATTGTTGATAATCACATTCCTACAGAATGTTTATGAACATGTTAACCATATTTAAAAAATCTGTTCCTGTTAAAAACTGATGACATCATCTGTGATATACAACAACAAGTTTACATGCAGTGCACCCAAACTTGATTCTAGTGTGATGAAAGAGCAGCTCTGTCTTTTGAGTAAGAGAGACTAACACAATCAGACAACTGACTGTGGTGTGACCGTGTGGAAGACCCTGAACAGGAMACCTAAATCCCAGATGTTTTTAGACAGATGTCCAAACATATTATTTAGATTATTGAACAGARCAGCAAACTACCAAAATCTGAGATGAAGCTCTTTCTTTAAGTTCAGCTCATTCAGGACTTTTTCTGCTTTTTAAACACAAGTGTGTAAAAAAGTTGTCAGTARAAAATGTGACAAATACAATTTTAGAAAAAATAAACAGATATGCACCAAATCATTATCTTCGCCTGAAAATTAATAATGAAATTGTGTTTCATTGTGAAAAAGATCAAACCTGAAAGTTAACTTTTGAAATTAAGCAAATCTTGAGACTAATAAAGCAAAAGACTGAGTTTGTATTTGTAATTTTTACACACGTCACGTTTGCCATTAAAGAAGCACATAATGGAAAAATAAACATTCCTGTCTCACCCTGGTTTATAAATATGTCTTGAAGTGAGCTGTTCAAATTTTGGTGAGGTAAAATGAGTCAGAGCCAACATTGAGTAGCATTTTCCAGCTTCCAGGACCATTTCTCTCCATCYAACAAAAACTTTGAATCATACCATACTCCTTTTAACGTGAAAACAGAAAATCACRTATCATTGTTTTTCTTATAATAGTACATGGTTTACTAATAAAAGGTCTATAAGTACAATGATACTTTTATTTTTACTTTGGTTAAATTTGGGAAAGTCCAATTATGCCATCCGTTATGAAAGCAAAACTATGATGCCATTAATAAAACACACACTGATAAAAAGCTGCTACAGCAACAGTTCCAACAATAAGCCTTTCAAACAAACTAAATTAAACAAAGTTCATTTGTGGCCCCTTCTGCTTTACTTTGAATAACAGATGATAAAAATGTAAATATAGTAAATGTTGGTGTCAGACTTCTCACTAASTAGTGTGCGTCAGAAACTCAAGGACATTTATGGGAAAGTCTCAGTGATAGCTTCTTGTGAGTGTAATCATTTACTTCCTCAAAATGAGCTAAAATAAAAACATACATGACTTTCTGAAAATATTATTTTTTGCAACAAATAAACAGAATCTGCTCAAAGGGCAGAAACACAAAACAGACTTTTAGAGCAGTTCTTATAATCTACTGACATTTTTTTGACCTAACAACAGTGATTACACGAAGATTGGTGAACTTTGAACTCCTCAAGCCCCATTTACAAAACACTGATAACAGAAAAGCTGATGAGGGAGCCTCAATAGTTGCAAAATTGTTGGAATTTTAAACA